AGGGTTAATTGATAAACGGCAAATGATGCATTCATTTGCCAGGACGATTTGTTCTTTTGGCATACTGTTCATGGTGGCAACAAGAAATGTCCGTCGTAAACCTTTTGCCAAAACTGTTGGGAACTTGATGATTTATGCGGCCCCGTCATTCATTGAGATGGGGACTGGAGCGCTGGAGGGGAACCGTGGAGAAATGGGAGAGAGAAAAACGGAGCACGGTATGGTCGGCACTGGCCCCCTTCGGGCCTTGGGTACCATGGAATTGGGACTGAAATAAACAGAGCTAATGAACTAGGCACAGGTTGTTTTGAGCACGGTGTGATGCAGGGTCATTGACCCACAGGCCGCCGGCATGAATAGAGACAATCACGAGAATGGTGAGTGGTATTTGTCATTTTGTAGGAACTGAACGTGGTCTACTCTAAACATGTTCTTCCTAGTTCAAAATATTCATGTTTACGACTTCTCTTACCTCTTCTTCGGTAACATCATATTCCAAAATAGTTTCGTTTTTAGACCATTCAGAATTCTAGGTCAATTCCATATGAATCTCTTGCATTATGAACTTCTTTGAAAGGTTGTGAGAAACATTCTGTGTTAGAATCATTCACGAATTCTTCACAGTTGAGGCAAAGTATAGGCAGGTGCATGAGCGGTCAGAATCTTGTTATGCATAAATTAACTGAATATCAACAAGTTACCAATGAGTGAGTTAATTTAATGTACTGATGAGGTCTACTGAAAAGGTAATTTACCAAGAACACACGATTAGCAAATCAAAATGCTGACTGGTGGGACCAGTCCGGCAAATACAGATAACAGAAAGGTTACGATGGCCAGAGTGCAGCACTTCACACATGGCCAATGCAGCAAATCTGCCAGATTTTCAAACCACTGCCCGGGTTTTCTCGAAACTGGCTGGCGGACGCGTTTATCATCGGGCAATCAATCAAGTCGGAGGAAAAAAAGAGACCGTATTGCGTTAAAAAAAAATCGCATCACACGCTCACGGCAAGTGAGAAGTCAAAGAGAGAAAACTGTAGTGTTGAAATTTTCCAGAATTCCGAGCGAGCCGGAGGGGCTAGGGAACTGTTGGGTGGGAGAACCCTTGCAGATCGAGAGGTTAAGTGGGTACCATTCGGGCTGGTCTCTTGGCCTCATAAAATCTGGGAGTAAATCTGCCAAAATCACACACTTTTGAGTAAACAGTCGTGTTAATTACCAACCGAAGGTCTCTGGTCGATTCTCTTTCCTTTTTTCATGGGTCGCTTTTTATGATCGTCTTTTTCTTTACTATGTTTTGGGTTCAACCTGGTTGACCGTTGGACCAAAGAATACAAGCAGCGCAAAGGATTTGACCCTACCAATGAAAGATTTGTGGCTTGCGTTTTTCCTCCCTCAAGCTAGCGGTTTTCAAGTTTTTCTTAAACCTCTAACGTGAAGACTATTTTTTTTCTCAAATTGCAAGGAGAGCCGAAAAGTTCCGCTTTAATGAAACCTTCTCCTAAAATTTTGTCCCTTTTTGAGACTTCTTGTGATTTAAGAAAAAGTTGTACTTCCTGCCGTTCATTTCCTCTGTGTGGATGTCGCCGGTAAGCATGCAAGGTGTCTACGACAAAATGTTCTCATAGCTTTCTATTCCTATCCGCCTCAAGCACCCCCTCATCGGTTGAAAAGAACCATGTTGGTCGGAACTCTTCATTTCATCGTCAGCGATGCGACCGTGACGCGTGCACTTCGTAGTCGTTCGTGAACCAGCGAAGTTGCAGATCCGACCAAAGGAGCCCCCGTTGCTAAGAAAATTGTGTCCTCTCTTGGTTCAGTTCGGGGCTCGTTCAAGGAGCATTTTGGTACAAATTTGAACTATAAACATATATGATTGTGCTGGTTCTAGGTGTAATCGGAAGTGGAGCTATACTCGATTAAAATCAGACAGGAAGAGCATTTAGCCCCTTCATTATGGAAGCGGTTTTTAAACGAGTGGATTCGGGTTAGACTTCAGTTTCGCTGGTTCTTGTCAGAGCTTGATCATGTGGTTTCGAACGCTGCTTCAAAATGGCTGGAACCAGCGAAACCAAAGTCTAAGCCTTCCAAAAAAGGCAAGGGCGTTCGGGAATGGAGCACGCGTGCGAGTCGACGAATTCCCGCGCTGATGGGACAGACCTCTAGCGTTGCTGTTCTTGCTGTTTCCGAATGATCTCAGACGCGCTTCGTTTTGGGCATGCGCTGTTGGAGTACTAAACTGGCTCACTAGCTCTCTTGGATGCGACGTTCACTGTCACAATCGCATTTTTGTTGACTAAATAATGATTTTGCTTTCAAACATTAGAAAATTAAAATTCAGATTTGAATTTAGCCAGTATCTTCGTACCGAAACCCGTTGGTTCAACGCCCAATCAAACAGAACTGATGTTCTGTTTAACATACAAATCCCAAAACAATGGGCTCCAGTTTGAAACTTTGAATGTAATTACAGAAGCACGTAGCGACGAGGCTTTCTAAATTCCTGGACCCATATCGCGGTGAATTACAGCCCTCATTAAATCCATGAAGTTCAAAAGCCAAGATCGCGTTTCCAAACACATACCGGCCTTTAGGAGGCGCTGAGTGCCTGCTGGGACTCACGGCGGTTGATTTAAGGGCCCGCTGCGTCGTCTTCGCCACTCGAAACTAAAATAGAAGACTTAAACCGACACCGTCTTCGGGAGACATTTGGAGCGATTTGAAGGGTTGCGTGCCAGCGCAGCCCGCGAGATGGGAGTGTGTCTCTGTAAATTCCTTACGGACGACCAGTTATGTTGGCAAATTCACAACATAATTCAGCTTTATTCCTCGTGCTCTCGTTTCCAAATAGCAAATTTAAATTGTTAATGTTCGGCACCATACAAAATGCACCGCTGCGTCTGTAGGCTATGTAAGTTCACGTGGATCATTACAACATCCACCGTCACACAAGTCCTCATCAGAACGCCTACCCGTACGTACTTTTTAATTTTACTCCCCCTACCGAAAAAACAACGCAACTGATGGAAATTTCCCGTCCGTGATCCAAATTAATATTGGTGTGTCACAGTCTGCATTACAAGGAGTGCGTCAGAAAGGGAGAAAGCAAAGACCTCGGATACTATAAGGCGTGTTATTAACCTGTTCGGGATATGGTCTCTTGTATTTCATGGGAACTCGGGTTAAACACAGGTTGCGATTTACATCAACGTATGTCACAAACGAATTCTTGTCATTTCGCAACCATGTTCTTATCATACTGTTGTGATAACACACTGCACAGCTTATGCAACATTTCAGGGTTGTTCATTCGCTGCCCATTCAGCTGACATGAATATTCATGACAAAGTTCGTTGACAGAGTCCCCTTTTCCCCTTGTGTAAACACGCACAGCTGATTTTTCCACCCCACTTCAGATATGTAAATGCAACCGTAATAAATGGGAGCGCCAATGAACCACCTGTGAAACACCTGGTATGAAGGGGCGTATACGAACGAAGCTCAAACGGCGAACAACTCGTGACTTAACTTGGCCTGTTTGCTGGTTTGCCCAGTCAGTTTATTCTTCAACGACGTTTCCCTTATTGACAAAATGAAAATATTCAGTTTTGTTTTTGAAAGTTTGAACCCATCACGGATCCATCTCGATGTTAGATTATTTTCCCTAGCTGTGGCAATTTGTGGGCCGTTAAAGTTGTCATCGACAAATACTTAATTGGCGCTTCGTGTAAGCGGTGCCGGCCATACGCAGCCATTTTCACTTCACTATTGGCGTGACAAATGGATTGATTTATAAACGAGCAGAACTTTGGGGAATACGTTTTCAAGTGGGAAAGGTCGCGGAGCCTCTTAAAATTCAGAGTCGCTCCGATCAAAGTTGTACTGTATGGTAAGTGCAACCTAAAAAACTTATGACACCGGGGCAGATACAAGAGGGCGCACTTCTTTTTTGTAGCCGTCCAGTTGCGATTACGTAATCTTTTACGGTTCTTAAGGGAAAGTATTACGCAAAAAAATATAAAATTAAGGAAAATGCCATCTGTTTGACTTGAACGGTGTTTTTTTTTTCAATTTTATTTTCTCAAACTGGAACTGTGTGAGCTTGATTGTGACTTCAAACTGACGACGGTTTCATTCGCATTTCAGTGGGGCTATTGTCAATGGTATCAACATTGAAATAATGAATCATGTTTTTCTTAGTTGACTGATCTCTCGCTGACATTTGTTATCGTGGTTTTGACGAGACAAAGCGCAGACTCAGTCATTTCCCCGTTCCGACTTGTTCAACTAACACGGCTGATTGCATTCCTGACGTCATCGCTTGTTATGAAACCTCTTATGATTGGGATAAAGGATGCGACCCCCAGAAGTTTACCACCAAAAATCAATACATTATAATTTACCATTGTCCTGAGGCCCGGTGGTGGGTTGAGAGTCACTGAGCTGATTCGACAGAAATAAATCCCTCTGAAACGGGTACCGAGCTTGTCAAGACTTGTTCCACCAACGCCTTTTTTTTGGCTGCGTATCTATGGACGAGTGGTGTTGTTATTTACCCAAGTGTTGGCACGCGACGAAGTTCACGCCACGTCATGAGCAAAGTTCGCCGTGCGCACGAACCGGAGACAATGGGACGGAAGGCGAATTCCCACGGTCGGCCAAGGTTGTGCAACAAGGTAGTTTTCCCTATACATGCAATTTTGGCGCAGACTACAAGTCAGGACACGCTTTCGCCTTGACTATTTTTCCCGTTTGCATTTCGTGTACTTTTCATTTTGGGCAGTGGTACTTCTTATCGAATGTTACAGTTTCGTAAAAATAAAATGCTGTGCACGCAAGGTGCATGTATAAAATAAACATAGGTGTCTATGAATCAACTGTTCATGGCTTTTTGGAAGGTGAATTTTTCGGGAGAATACAAATTTGGAGGATGTCCTTGCTCGAATCTTATGTCTTCCCAAATAATATTGTTGAAATAACATCACTAAAAGGCGAAATACGTACTTTTTGAAACACTTTATTTTTATGCTTTGCATAACCACCTCACGAAAAACACACAAAACACAAATTATAGTCCACACAACAAACGAGCACTCCAACTAAATCTGAATTTTCTTTGTGTTTTCAAACACACTAAGAAAAGGATAAGAGCAGGCTGGATTCTCCAATCTGCCGACTCATCTCATTACTTTAATAAATACCCCCGAAAATTCAGGCAGAAATAGGTCTGATTTAAAAAATAACAATCCATTGCAAAATAACTTTATCATTGTAGGAAAATACGATCTGATTTTAGTATATCACAAAATATATACAACAAAAATAGCTCCTAAACTGTTCCCAATGGAAGACTAATCATAATTTAATATGCAAAGTGAAAAAATGGTATTGCCGCTTGAACAGACAAGCAAGATGGCAGACCACATTTACAAATACATGCATCACAAGAGTTCTGATTGAACAGGCGATCAGAATCACGAGCACGCCAATTTGCTGTTTTGTCAGATGCAAAACGGGGTTCAACGTGCCATGCCCCTCCCCTAAAACCCTGCCAACAGAAAGTTATGTGACTCCAAACGAGCAGCTGGACACGCCATCATTCTATTTGTGACAAACTTCTAACACAAGTACCAAGGACAAAAAAACGAAGGCCAACATTTAAACTGAACTGTTGGAATTTCATTTTGGTTTTGAAATTGGTATACGTGATCAGCACGGGCGTTTCACAATAGCGCGCCTCCAAGAGTTTGCAACGCGTTGGCCCATCGCAATGTGCGAAATCTGTCGACCCAATGCGCGTTACGAATGGTCGACAGGTAAACCCATTGCATAATAAATGTCAAAGCCTCTTGAAATTTGTGAATAACAAACAGTCAAACTTTACTCTTCATCACCTGCATTTTTTTGTAAAATACGTCAACAAGAACCTAATACAATGTTATTTTGAACATGTGAAAAAAAATAATACATGTATCGAAGAACAGAGTGTAAAACAAAATTACTCATCACACACAATTTTCACAAATTCATCTACCACGGTCTCCAAACTGGATCAGTGTCCCCTGAGGCTTCGGTGCTTACAGCAAACACCCCTGGAAATCGAATGGGATGGCGCATCTGCTCTGTTGGGTGCTTAGCCTGCGTGGCCATCCCGGGCGGCGAGACTTTGGCGTTGAAGGGGAGGGAGAAGGTAAACGGTGGTGCCAGAGCGGTTGGTGCGACAGCTCCCGCATGCGGCGAGACGAGCTGAGCAGCCGGCGGAGGTATGGCCGTCCACACTGCCGGCTGGCCGGTGGCGACCGTAGAGGGCGCTGTGAGCGAAGCTTTGGGAGTTGGCGTGGATGCGGTCGACGCCCTTGGGCTGGTATCGCCACTGTCTGTGCCCCGGGGTGAAGTCGTCGCGGCGACGGTGTTGGAGCTGGCGAAGGAGAAGCCGAGGGAAGGAGTCGCGTCCTTCCCTGGTTCTTGGGCGTAGACGGGTATGAGATGTGTGGGTACTTGACCGCCTGGAAGGGACTGGCTGGGGAGGATAAGAGTGATCATATTGGCCGCCGGTTGCACGGCTTGCGGTGCTGATTCTCTGGGTAGATTCTGGGCAGCCATCACAGGCAGTTTGACCTCTGACCCTGACAGTTCGGGTTTTGACGCGGAGGATGAGTCGCCGCCGGCACCCTTCACCGGGGACGGCCGCTGACTTTGAAGTTGAGGTGCATGCGGACCGCGCACCTGGGAACCGCCCCCAGTCCTGGTCCCCTCCACGGCCGGAGAGGTCATGAAGGTCGCTTGGTGCGACACCGGACCACCGCTGGACAGCGGCGGAGTCGGAAAGCAGACCTGCAACGGCGGTGTCTGGTGATGACGGACGGCTGCAGAGATCGGCGCGGTCGAGCTGGCAGCGTTTACGACCACAAGCCCCCGATTGGACGTTGGCGACGACGGCTGTACCTGGCCGGTCCCCGGGGACTGCATCTGGCCGTTGCTTACCCCGGCATACCTAGCCGGCTGCCGCTGCTGATTGGTACTCGTGCACAGCCCAGCCAGGTGACCGATGAGGCGCGCACGCACCTCCGGGTTCTCCTCCATTGCACTGCCCAGATAACGAGACACCTCCCCCATACATTCAGCGAAGCCTGTCCGGTACTGGGTCATGACAGAAGGATCCGTCTCAAAGGAAGCTGTTTCAAGTGAACGCGACAAAAAAACCTCATCAATCGCTTAATCATTACTTCAATGAATACAAATGCGTCTCAAATGTCTCATCAATTTTATCGCTACAATAGTGTCATTAAAACCATAGTGGCGTCTCGGGAAAGTAAATAATAGCGATTGAGGCGATAATCGACACCCACTGGGCGCGGTTTAATGAAATGAGACTTAATCGCAGGGAAATTCGATACCCGCATGGCCTCATTACATTACAGGTTGATCCACTGAGATTCACGAGCCGTCGACTGCAAGGGGTCTTCCTAAAAATCCCTGTATTTGATGTGATGCATCAAATTCAGGGACGTCGACTTTACTTTGACCGGAGCAATTAACCTGTCAATGAAAGCGAACCTTGCCACCATACCTTTGACTTGCTCACGCTGGACGTTCCTCAGGTAGCGGACAGTCATTTCCAAGATGTCCGCCTTCTCTAGTTTAGAATGGCGGGAATTCTATGGAAAAAGAAACCCGAAATTACTTATCACTAAAAGGGCGGGAAAAGGGTTGTCTAGAGCGTTAAACTAAGGGCAACGCATGACAACTTGTCTAGATTCATAACAGTTAGTGTCCTGCTCAAGCCATGGAGGAAGGAGGGGATGCTCAAACTTGGGCTGGAAAATCCCACACTTCTGTTGATAAATCAAATCCATGGGCGACGAAACCTTGCCTCGATCGCCTCACAGAAGTTGACGATACGTTTATCGATTAAGGCCACCACAAACACAAGGCTATGAAAATCGATTCCATAGCAATTCGTCTTTTATACCAGCCGTCTCCTTTCGCAGGAATCGATCTGCAGCCGATTTACGGCAGTCTCGCTATTCACATAAAGTCATAACTTATTTTGGGCTCTGATGCAAGAGCGAGGGGGAAATCCAGTGACGTGTCAATCGTGGATTATTCATGAGTGACGTAGCCTGAATAATTCATGCTATTATCGTCACCCTCGTAAATAAAAGATATCGTGAATACCGCTCACTGTAGACAAGTCGGTTCTTGCGTCGTGCACAGCATTTGCTTACCGCGTGTTTATTTACAAAGCAAGTAATGTCCATATTGGGACAATTCCGAGCAATAAACGGGTTGGAGGATCGCAATCATCGAGGAAAAAGGAAATAAATGCACGCCGATTGGCCTTATTGTTGCAAAACTGTGCATAGCTTTATGCCTTTTATGCGGACAGGGAAACGAAAGCTCTGAGTGCCTTTATAGAATGCTTTTCTTCCTTGTTGCAAGAATAAGCTCGCGTGTTGTGTACCGAAAGAGAATGACTGAACGCATTACAAGACAGTGAATTGCGCAATCCCTTGAATACCTCATTTCACGAGCAAGCTTTAGAATCTAATAGCTTGCCAACACACAAAATGAACGGTCGAATCATCACCTTCTCCTGTCAAGTCCTCCGTTTGGAAACACCAAATCGTGGTAAACTTCATCAATTTTGTAGACATCGTTAGTATTGAATGGTTTCTGAAGCAAACGTCCTCTGGTTGCAAATCGCCAACAGGATTAAAAAAACGCTATTTGGCCTAATGTAAACTTACGTTTTTATTTATCCCATCCAGAACCAGCGCCTTAAGCTGCTGCAAACTCTCGTTGATTCTCGCACGACGTCGCTTTTCCATCGCAGGCTTCGAGGCCTAAGGGGTGAACGTTTCATATGAGTGATGCAAGTGATGAAAATGTAAAATCACGGAAACGGGACTGAAAACTTGTACCTGAAGGTTGGCAATACTTTCTATAATTTTTTTTTTGTTAACGTCATTAACTCCAAAAAAAGGAAAAAACAAAAAACTTAAAACTAAAAAGGGAAATTATGAGTTACCAACCAATAAGAACATAACCACACAGTAAAACAAATCTTGAAAAGAGAATGCACTTTTTGTTAACCTAAAAAGCTACAGTCACTTTTCAGGTCGTTAAAACCACATGATTAATATTAAAATAAAAACTGTACATAATCCAAGTGAAACAATAATCGATTAATGCAATTAGCTACCGATTATGCAATTGGTAAAAAAAAATCACCTTCATTGTTTGTTTCTCCATGTCAGCACTTGTCATCATTTCGTCCGGCCGTGCCAGCTGAGCAAAAGGAAGACCACTGAGTCCACCTGTATCGGAATGTTGATGAGCTTTTCAGCGCACGCTCCCAACACTGTAGCACCTGATCGCCGAATTACCAACCGGCTGCCGACCGACCTTTGCTTGCTCAGTAATCATCGGCTGCACGCTCCGCTGACTCAGTTGACAGTCCCTGTGCAAACCCGTGCCCCATGCATAGGAATGGCGTTCGGCAGTGTCGGGTTCTTTTCTCTGTTTATTTTTTTCTTTTGACTAATACCTCCGCGCTTCCCGGTCGTGTGAATCCCCCAGTGGAAGATTTCCCACCAATCTTTTCCCCCTTTGGTCCAATAGACACATCGAAAACAATGGCGTCTTGGGGGCCCCTTTGTATCCGCCTTCAACTCGCGACTGAGCCGGCCCGATTGGCTGAAGTTAATGGCGACCATTATCTGGAGGCACAAGCCCATTGGCTGACGGACTGAGCGACGTCATCCAGGCGTGGGGTAATTACACTGACAGTTGACCCGATTTTGTTGTTACGACCGGTGAGAATGTGCCCGCCAAGCACTAGCAGGGCACGTGCCGCGTCTTTTGTTTATCACCGGGCAGCTAACGTGTGGACAAACGTGGGAAAACCACGCCCCCGAAGAACCGTAGGTGCACCGGCCAGGTAACAGGTAGTAAACAAGTGGCGCGCCGCTGCCATACGGAGTTCGACTCCCGCAGTCCCACTGCTGGGGTTTGTCCCAGTTTAAAGGAAAGAGAAGAGGGGAAATACGTGGAGCAGCGGACTGCCACTAGACATCCGAGGCCGGGACGTCGTCTTTTGTGGAAAATCTTAAACGGCCAGAGGGTTTGCCTGCGACGAGGCTCACGACGCCGTGTTTTGTCCCTTCTCGTACCCGTCCTGAGCTTGTGCCGCTGGGCTAAAAGGAGTAAATGGCACCCCTAGCGCCGGCAGAAATAGCTACACACTATCAAAATGCTATTTACATACCGATAAACAACGCGTAGTGGTGTACATTTCTTTTTAACAGACGCGAAACTGGTCCTAGTCTGGCGCGTTTGCCTGCTAGGCATCAACTTAATGCTTTTAGCCCGAGCTTACCAAAGTTTCACCTGGTACTCTTTAAACGCCAAACTGAGTGCGAGCCAGTTGCCAAGGCAACGTCACGCACCGGCAAATCGTGAGCAGGTCTTTCCCCAGTTTTCAATTAAATGAAGCCGGTAATTGCTTTTTTCGCTGGTAATTATTAACTCATTTTCGTGTCACAGCCGATTTGGTCAAACCTGCGTGTCGTCCGATTTTGTCCACGTTGTTTTTCACAGACTGTCATCTATTTGACCTGACCACGTCCTCAGAGAACATCGAGACCGGGTTGCGCATTCAAGGTTCGGATTAAAAAAATTTTGCATCTTACTTGATGTTTTGTGGCACTATCATACTTACTATTGCGTTAAAAACTTCTAAGTAAGGTAGTTAAAAAACAGTTGAAGCCTGAGACGGAGCCGAAGTCGAGTACTGGAAAACGGCACAATGTCCACCTTGATATCGATGATACGAGCGAAACTGCCCACAGCGCATTAACGTCCCAGAGCCCGCCATGCCTGCCATAGCTCTCTCTCGATCACTGGTGAGGGGGCACTGGTGCCCAGAGGCCGTTTTAATGCCGAGGACACATTTATCATAATGTGAGACCGACTGATTAAAACCACCAGCTCTCATGAAATTCTGTCTTTTTTGGTCGTGTGTTATTATTAGTACTGTGGTCAAAGCTTAAATCAGCTTCAAACTATGTCACTTTGCGTGACATTCAGAGGATTTCTGGCTATTTCTCTTTGGGTGTACAGCAATTTGAAAACCTGGCTCTCGGGAAAAGGGAAATGTTTTCCCGAATTGTGCACCTCAAACTAATTCCGTTTGTATACGAACCGGTCAAAAGAAATACGCGAGAAAAACGATGCTGAAACAACCCGAAATAAGCCTCACAAATTCAACCTAACTTGTGGAGAGTAATTGTAACTGCCAGAAAAAGGAGCATAGCTAAGTCGGACCAGTAAAAAAATTATTATTTCCAAATCGTCGACCGAAACTTTATTAGGCTTACTTGAAAAAATGCCATTCGTATCAAGGTTTTTCACATCCAGAAAAGGCGCGAAACGGTTACGGTGCGATCGCATAACGTCACGTTCACAACCGTGTTATTGCTCAACAATTGCTCAACGATACAAGATGGAGTGAAATAATGTACAAAAATAAGAATCGTTTTGAAATGTTCAAAAGCCATACAGACGGGAATAAAGGGGGAAAAAGACGAGTGTGTGGGAAAAGCAGCACAGGTAGATATCCCACGCTATTAAAGGTATGCTGCTCCGCATCCCGGGACGAAATTAACAACAATACCCACTCTGGTTCAAGTGTTAAAACCTTTTGTCATAATTCCAACAATGCACACGCACACAAAAATCCCCCGGTGAACTTTTCTTTTACACCAGGAGCGAAAGCGAGTGAGAGAGAGAGAGAGAGAGAAAAAATACACGTGCAACCTTTCTTTTTGACGGGACGCGATCAAAGAAAAGTCAGCGTTTTTGTGTGTATTTGCCTCGCTTTTGGCTCTTTATTACTTTTTGTCCCCTTTTCACCGTGGGAGTTTCTCTTTCGTTTCTGACATTTTTCCCACGCTGTGAGGATCGGTCCAGACCGTGCAGCGCCGCTGAAGTTCCGCGGTGTTGGACCCGAAGAAGTGGGGCTTCGTCAGGCGTGCTTGTGGTTGCACTCTGACAGTAAACACAGCTTCGACAAGAATGACATCATTCTAAAAACATTTAACCTCTCATAAGCATCTTCTTTTTTTTTTTTTTTTTAGAAATTACTCATTTTCGAAAGAGATTGGTTATATTTACTTATTTTGTCAAAAACCTGACACTACATGTGGCCTCTTCATGACACCCGTAAACGCATACAAAGATTTCGTTCAGGTTTATTGAAGGTGCGGCGATATTTTCTTCTTGTTTCGTTGGCTGTTTTTCTTTCCTTTTTCAATTTTGTTGGTTGTTAAGCTGAATTTTGAATACACAGTCGGAATGGATGACGTAACGATTAAGAACTTCATGAGGACAGAAAGTTTGGTATTTAACAATGCCTTATAATGACTAGAACTTTCTCAATTCAGTGTGGAAATGGAACATACGGGGATTCGGGTGGGAATAACTGGGATAGTAATGCCTGCACTGGCAAAATTATTGCAAGATTGCATTTAAATGTTTACAAACTTCCTCACACATAGTTTTCCTTCACAACTTTTAGGTAACAAGTTAAATCGCGATTAATATTTCAGGCAACGTTTTCGGCTTTTCAGAAATTGCAGGGGCTGGAGCTAGCCGTAGAAGAATTTTTTTTTTAATTTAAAAGATACGATACCTGCTTTGAAAAGAATGAGGGAGGGTTTCGATTGTGATCGCCAAGAGATTAGCTTTTGTGTACCCAGAACTTGACAAAAAGAGAGGGAAAAAAGTTTGTGTATTTAATGAGATGACTGGCCGCGGAAAGCTGAGCGAAGGTAGGTTCCCACGGTGTGCCCGGCTTGTTTGGTTCAGATTACGGCTGTCTGCACCTGTCGTGACTGCCCTTCAGTTCCACATTCAGGCCGAACCACCTGGATCAGCCATGCGTGAATCGGCTCCTTTGTCATGCAGATACCAGGTGTACATGTACACGTACGCGCTTCCAACGCCGTGCTGCGTTGTTTGGTTGGCCCGGGTGCAGCCGCATCATCAGGAAATGCAGAGCATCGCAACGCACTGAGGCTTTGCAGGAAGAAAAAACACCATGGAATTTTTTTTCGTTATCTGCGCTTGCGCGAGCCTCGGAGAAGTTAGCTCTCATTGGTTCAGTTTCACCTCATTAATAAACAACACCTGCAATACCTCATACATACGTATACCTGGAACCCAGACTTTGGCCACGCGCGGCGCGTGGTGTCCAAGGCCTCAGCGGCACCGTTTCGACAAGAGGACTTTGTTGTCGAAAGCGTAACGGAATTTTAAGCATTTGGCATAAGTCCGCGCTATTTCTCCACCACTTGACAAACACTCTATTTTTCTTTATACATGTATTTTCAGAAAAGACGAAATTAATTCAGACCACCGAATTCAAACACTTGTTTTACTCTTTTTCTTTAAACAAAATAAACCTTGCGACGTTCCATCCCTCTCCCCAAAAGAAAAAAATTGTACTTTATTTTATTTCATGAAAATAATGTACAATAAGAACTCAAGAATAAATTAAATCTTGTCGCTTTTTGAAAATAAAAGACAGAAACAGAACATAACGCTGAAATTTACAACCGGTGTATTTCTTATTTAGAATTTACTCAGTGTCGCTAGTTTCTCCGGTTTGGAACAAGAACTTAGTGCAAGGAAAAACTGCAAGAAGGAATCGGATACTACGTATATGCCATTTCAAATCGCATACCACCGTGGTGTAACTGTAGAACAAGTCTCCAACTTGAGGATTTTACAGGTGGTGATCTTAACTTCAGGTGGCATTCCTCTTGCTGTTGAATATCAGCAATAAATCTGTCAAGTATCTTGGGCCCAGTGACCTCTTTTTTAACTGTGGCAAAGCGAAATTACGGGAAAAATGGCAGGTGTACGCCAATATCGCCAGCAACTGACACGCCATGACTGTGTACATAATGCATGATGTTTCAGACAAAAAATAAGTCGCTCACCGGTATTCAGCGCACCAGAGATCTCGCGTGCGGTCGCACAGCGCCCTCTGCTGCTCTCGAGCGAGCTCCTCCTGTGATCGTTACCATTTTTTATCATCATTAATTGTAACATGAGAGGCATCCCACACAGTGGGTGAATTCCCGAGGGACAAGGAGTAACACGACAACCAAATTCACACGCCGACATGGGCGGGACTCGAACCGGAGTTCGAAAGGGTGACCCGACCCTCAAATTTCATCTAGACCTTGGCAAAATGATTGCAATGCTAAAATGAGGCCTTGAGTATTAATAGTTTTGAACTAAATGGAGGAAT